ACCCTCTGCAAACCAGGGTCCTCCTCAGCACCTTGTCAAGTTAACCACACATGCTCGTAGAAAAAAGAATTTCCTTCTCATCCTGCCTGGGCTCCTCTGGAAGTCTGTGTGTCTCCCAAGACAATAGGTGGGTGGTCAGACTCAGGTAGGTTCCTGTTAATTTGGTGGTGAGTGTGAATTTCAAGCGGTCAGTCTTGCAATCTGTTCCTCCTGACACACACCTGACTTTCAGCCTGAGGGACCCTCTTGTTCACTGCTGACTTTTTTTTTTTACTGTGATGTATTAATTTCCTATTTCCCTGTAGTAGGTACTGGGCTTTAAAGGAGACTCCACTGGAATCTTTCCTCTGAAAACTTATTCATAATCTCTAATTTTTCTTCCAATTTTGTTGAGTTTTAGAAATCAACATGGTATACAACCTTTCAACCAATCAATATATATTCATCACCCCAAGTCACTGGTACAAATTCCTTGATTTGGAACCTTGTATTATCCATCATTTTACCTTTCAGTAGCAGTGCATGACTTCCTGCACAGTGGTTAATAACCTAGCACCTGGTGGCATTGTTCAGAGCACTCATTTAGACTGCCTTTCTTTATGCCACTGATTTACAGGTGAAGAGCTCCCAAGCAGGCTCTGCCCCTTCTGCACTGCTGTGGCACACACAGTGCAGGGTGGTGTGAGGTCAAGTGCACTTGCAAATTTAGATATCTTTAAAGCAGTACTCGTCCAACAAATATTACTAAGGACATAAATATGGTGAAGGTATTTCAGACCTTGAGAATTTGGAAAGAAGAAAAAATATTGGTATTTTAAATTGATTACCATTAGAGGACAAATATAATAACACAATATCTAAGGTGTAAATATATATGACAAATTGAGAATGTAATGGGTGATGAGGTAATTCCATATTAAAAACCTAGCAGCTTTTCCCCCTTGTATACTGACTTCTGGGCACTTCATGGGTGATTGCTGACCAACCCCAGGCATTAGTGACAAATATTAGTTGGAAAATCAACTATCTGTTAGGATTTGGAAGCTGATGTAGAATCACTTGAGACATTTTCTTTGTTTCACTATTTTTATACTAACCCATTCACTGTCTTTATTTTTGCAACAGAATTTAGTAATTTCTCTAGTAAGTAGTTTGAATTATATCAACTTAATTGATGTCCTTCTTTGCTTATGTGGTTTAATTACAACTTGAAAACTTCTCTAAATTTAACTTAATTTTCTCATGGATGAGTCTCCTAGAAAAATTCATACTATGGATGTAATACAGTAAGTACATGAATCATCACCTAACTTTCATAGTTCCTCGGAGTATTCCTGCAGATCTTCAAATTATGAATACTTTGTGCACCCAGATTTTGTGAAATAAGAAACAGGCTTTAATTTTTGCAGTTTGACCTCCATAATTTTAGAGTGTTCAGAACGACATTCTCCTTTAATTGGTGAAAAAATGCTTACTGAAAATTCCCTTAGAAAATTCAAAAGGTGGGGGCATAAAGAAAACCAAGATTAGATATCTTGAGGGTCCAAAAAATAAGTACAAGGAAATATTAGCATATGTTTAATGCCAGAAGTATGTAGAGAGACTACTCCAAGTGCTTTTCTCTGTAAGTGGGGACAGCTGACATTTTTTTCCTTTGGGTACTTCTCTTGATAGTGCTTAAAATAAAGAAGTGTATGGATTGCAAGTAAAAATGCAAAACATTTCTTTTTTATGGCTCATAATGTTTTTTTAATTTTTAATTTGTTCTAATTAGTTATACATGGCAGCAGAATGCATTTTGGCACATTGTACACAAATTGAGCACAAATTCTCCTTCCTCTGGTTGAACATAGTGCAGAGTCATCCTAGTAGTGTAATCATACATGTATATAGGGTAATAATGTCTATCTAATTCCACCATCCTTCTGATCCCCACATTGCCTCCCCTTCTGTCACTCCCCTGTGCACAATCCATTAATTTCTTGGGTTATAAGAGACTGGAATTAATCATTTTCTAAATTACATTTTTCTGTATTAGCAGTTATGGATTAATGCTGTTGATCAGCCATTGGGGAATGTTGAGAGGCACTTATCATATTCTGAGCTTGATAATGAGCTTCCAAAGGCTGCACCACTGTATTTTTATATTTTTACCACTGGACACACAATGCTCATCACACCTGATATAACTTTAGTATAAAATGTGAAAAATTATTGAAAAGTAGATCATAATTCTTATTATGACCGAAAGGTGAAGTGGGTGAATTCAAAATGCTTCAATGACAATTTTATAGCATATTAGAAGTTTTATTTTCAATGCTACTGAAAAATAAGTATATCATTTGCTAAATAAATTCAACTATTTGGCAATTTTCTTTCTTGTCATGATATGCATGTATTCCTGGTCACCTCTCTTCTCTGTGCAGATAATTCTGTGCATTTTCTAAGTGTGTGGTCAATAAAATATTTTGAAAAGTATAATTTTAAACCAACAAGAGGCAGAATAAAGAAGGATCACATTATGTACTTGCAAACAGCATTCATATATCCACAGCAATCTATGGACAGTTACACTAATATGTACGCAATAGAAAACACAGTAAATTCTACAGTGTTTACAAGACTTCTCTGTGCCTGTTATTCTTGCAGAATGAAGCAAGTATTTATTTAGATACCTCATAATATGCATGAGATTGCAATTTGCTGAAAAGAATCAAAATTAGGCTCAGATAAACTTGGACTCTAACTGCCAAGTACTCACTCCTGATTGTCACCTGTTCTCCACCTGGGAGCAGAACCCCGTCTCTCCTTGGCATCTCCCATCCACTGTGTCTGCAGCCAGATGGACCAGTCCAGCCAGCTCTGTACAATGTGGTATGTGGGAATCTCAGTCATCTCTGCTTTATGTGAACTTGGTGCCTGGCCAGTGATAGCAGGGCCCCTGGGAGCCTAGAGCTCAGCCTGCAGAGACAGAAGGAGGCCTGAGCACACTACCAGGCAACAGCACCTCCAGAGCCCAGGATAGAGGACTTGGCTATGTGCCAAGGTGGACAGTGGATGACACAGTGGAACTCCTCTGCTGAGCATCACCCTAAGTTATTATTGAAAATTGAGTAACACTGAGGAGATACTGATGGTGTTCACTGTGTTTTTAATCTCTGCCCTCCTCAATGTGAGGGAGAAGTGTTTACAGGGATCAGTTAACATTAAGAGTGGTGGGCAACTCTCACTCATCAACCTGTAAGTGGAAAACCTCTAACAGTGTCTGCATTTTAGCAGCAACATTTCTTATCCTTGAGATAAAATGCAAATGATTTAAAGATAACTTTGGCTAGAGTTCATGGTTATCAATTCAGTGTTATATACTATATTTAAAAATTGCACAATATCCAACTACATCTTGTTACAGAATATTTGTTTTTCTTCAAATGAACCATCTAATCCATTACACACAATATCTCTGCTTACCATTAATTAGAGTCACTGGAAACCACTGTGTATAATCTCCATTTTTTTAAATTTATATGTCCCAGACATTTTGTTTGACTAGAATCATTCAATATGTGCTGTTTTTATGATGTGGATTCAGCTTGATGTTTTCAAAATTATTTTACATTGTAGCATTTATCACTATTTCATTTTTAAGGGATGAATAACAGTCCATTATATGTATACACCAGCACTTTAAAAATCCATGTATCCACTGATACATGTTTTGTTCTTCACTGTGGTAACATGAGGTGAGATTCGTTGGTAATCTTCTATAGGGGCTTCTTTGTATCCTGGGAGAGATTCCACATGAATGTGTTCTATAATCCATCTTATGTGCTGCTGGATTTGCTTTGCTAGGTTTTG